CTGAATAGGGACTTCAATCCAATTATAAACAAATCAACGCAAACGTTTTACATTTCATAATGAGATTTGTTCAAAAAAATAATATTTCAAATGCACGGAAAATGAAGAAAATAAACACAACATAATTTTTATTTTCTCTGGAATAAAATTTAATCCTTAGTAAAGTGTATTACATAATATTATGTAAATTTTTCATTTTAACGTTTAATTGAATAAAATTGTTGAAATTATAATATTTTTTAAACAAATATTAGCATATATTATACTGAGTGGATACACATTCTTGAAATTTTTATAGCCTTGCGCATAGCAGTAAAAACTTTTTTCGTTCATATATATAATATATATATAGTTAATTGTATGTTTTGCACTCTGAAAGCATATGCATTTGAAATTTAAACAGTTCAGAGGAACAGTTTTTCTTCATGCCTACAATCCATGAAACTGTATTCTTAGAAGGTCATCAAGAACTAGAAAAGTCTTTTTTCTTAGTATTTACGTCAACGTATTTCTACGTACTTTTTTCTTACAACAAAAATATACAATTTTATCCAACAAGAGTTAATTTACGAAAAATATCTCATGTTCCCTTCTTAGATGTTTTCTTGCTATATATAAAATAAAGAAAAACAACAGCACGCAGAAATGACTTGCTTGCAGGATTTAAAGGTTTAAAAACGACGACAAAATAGAAAACTCGATACAACGATGGTATATATAAGTCCATTGTTTCAACTTCTGTAAAAATAAGGCTAGCAAAAAGGAAACAGTGAATTATTGAGTTTTGCGCCAACATACAACAAACACAGTTCTGTTATGTGTGCAAGAAGCCGAAAATTGACCGCAAAAGCATAGTATGGAATAAATTTTTTAAACCCACACAATCTCTCGACAATATTGTAGACAACAAATAAAAAACATAAAAAATATTACTCTTATTTTAAATCTATATTAGAGAGGGATAACATTGCTAATATTGAAATTAAAAATAAAATACTAAGTGGAATCTTCATTAGATTCATATAACTTAATTCTATCAATAAATCAGATATATAAAATGAGCATTGAAATTAATCTGAAAAGCATTAAATTCATTTCAGAAATATTTCACGTTTCATTACCGCTTACGAAATTGAAATAAAATTGGTGTGGCTGATCCATTTTGTTAATTGAAAAATTAATTGTTTAGCAATTTATCCTATTATCTTCAATTATTTCGATTTTAATTTAGTTATGAGTTTGAACTAATTTACTTTAAGTTTGTTTATTAAAACACTAGCAGAAATACACGAGAAAAAAAATTCATGAAAATATGTAGCGGGATTACGAATAGCAACAACACTACAAAGATTGCGCAACGTAGCGATTTGAAGCTACATTCACTTACAACAATTTTCTAGTTACTCGGTGACATCAAAAAAATTGTATCAGTTTGAAAATTTTAGGTTAGTATAATTGTTTCACTGGTAAAATTTAAAGATATAGAAATTATATTATTGATACTTTTTGAAGCGGAAAGTATATGAATTTAAAAATTATGGATTCAGGGGTGCGTTCACGTCCCTCTCATTTTCACTCTCACTAAAAAATTTGTCACTATCACCCTCACTCTCAATCAAATTTTTCAATTTCACTCTCACATTCACTCAAAAACTTTTCACTCTCAATATCATTCTTACTTCAAAAATTTGATAAATTGAATTATATAAAATCTAAATTTGAGGTTCATTAAAAGTAGAGTCAATTGAAATTTTAATCATTTAAATTTTGTATGAATTAAATTTAGTGTGGATTGAAAATTTAATCATTGTATTGTTTTAAGAAATCTACACTTGAAATTTTGAACTTAAATGTTGGTAAAATGATATTTAAATTTAAAAATTAAATTGAAATTTTTTTTTACAATTGTTAACATACCTATATATTTAAAATCTTAAAAATTAGCAAAATCAGTGAAATAGGTGACAAATTAACGAAAAATGTGACAAAAAATATAAAAGGTATCAAAAGTAAAAAGGTGACAATCTAATCTCTAAAAGTTTAATTAGTTTGAAATTTGTTCAGACGCTTTAAATTTGTATCGATTGACTATAAATCGATTGAAAATTTCAATGAAAGAAAAATTAAGTTGATGAAAATTTACATAAAATGAAATGTGTATCGTTAATATTTTTATACATTTAAAATTTACGTAAATTGAAAGTTAAGTAGATTAAAATTTCGATGAAGTAAAAATTAATTTCATGAAATATGAGTAAATTGAAATTTCGATCGTTTAAAATTTGATGAATTAAAAATTAGGTCCATTGACCCAAGTTGTAAAAATTATTTTAAAAGTTACAAAAATATTTTCTCATACATAAATTTATAACGAGTAATTCATAAAAATTCACAAATTGATAACTCATACACACATGTAAATATTTCTATATGGGACGTTCCATGTCAACCGGATCAGTGCACTGTACATAATTGTATGGGATCAATTGAAACGTCTAAGGTCTTAAAATGTTCATCTCGTAGTACTTTAACATTTACAATATGGCCTTTTTAAAAATTCAAAATGGCGGCCGAATTATGACACATTATATGGCTGAAATGAAGAAAATGTATAATTAAAACATTATTTAAGAAGCAAAAAATGTTCGAATTGGCATTAAATTGATCACCAACAGTGCTAGGGGTTTACAGAATCAAAAAATGCTGACACTTTTCAAAATTTTCAATAATACAAAATTGCAGATCAAAAATGGAGGAATAGTTTTAAAATATGACTCAATTTACTCGAAACTTAGGACTTGGGGATTTTTGGGGTCGCTGATTACAAATCTGAACTCAGTTTTCAAAAATACAAAATGGCGGATCCAATATGGCGGGCTGTTTTAAAAAAAATTACCCAATTCACTCGAAACTTGTGACTCGGGGGTTTTTGGGGTCGCTGATTACGAATCCGATGATAGTTTTCAAATTCAAAATGGCAGATCTAATATGGCGACTAACTTTTATAAAATTAATTAAATTCACTTGAAAATTGCCACTCGGGGGTTTTTGGGGTCGTTGATTACAAATCTAAACTAAGTTTTCAAAAATACAAAATGGCGGATCCAATATGGCAGGCTGTTTTATAAAAAAATTACCCAATTCACTCGAAACTTGTGACTCGGGGGTTTTTGGGGTCGCTGATTACGAATCCGATGATAGTTTTCAAATTCAAAATGGCGGATCTAATATGGCGACTAACTTTTATAAAATTAATTAAATTCACTTGAAAATTGCCACTCAAGAGTTTTTGGGGTCGCTGATTACGAATCCGATAATAGTTTTCAAAAATTCAAAATGGCGGATCCAATATGGCGAACTGTTTTTAATAAAATAACACAATTCACTCGAAACTTGTTTTAAACTCCCGAGTCACAAGTTTCGAGTGAATTGGGTAATTTTTTTTAAAACAGCCCATCCATATTGGATTCGCCATTTTGTATTTTTAAAATTGAGTTCAGATTTGTAATCAGCGACCCCAAAAACCACCGAGTCACAAGTTTCGAGTGAATTGGATAATTTTTTTTAAAACAGTTCGCCATATTGGATCCGCCATTTTGTATTTTTGAAAACTTAGTTTAGATTTGTAATCAACGACCCCAAAAACCCCGAGTGGCAATTTTCAAGTGAATTTAATTAATTTTATAAAAGTTAGTCGCCATATTAGATCTGCCATTTTGAATTTGAAAACTATCATCGGATTCGTAATCAGCGACCCCAAAAACCCCCGAGTCACAAGTTTCGAGTGAATTGGGTAATTTTTTTTAAAACAGCCCGCCATATTGGATCCGCCATTTTGTATTTTTGAAAACTGAGTTCAGATTTGTAATCAGCGACCCCAAAAATCCCCAAGTCCTAAGTTTCGAGTAAATTGAGTCATATTTTTAAAACTATTCCTCCATTTTGGATCTGCAATTTTGTATTATTGAAAATTTTGAAAAATGTCTGCATTTTTTGATTCTGTAAACCCCTAGCACTGTTGGTGATCAATTAATTCCCAATTCGAACATTTTTTGCTTCTTAAATAATGTTTTAATTATACATTTTCTACATTTCAGCCATATAATGTGTCATAATTCGGCCGCCATTTTGAATTTTTAAAAAGGCCATATTGTAAATGTTAAAGTACTACGAGATAAACATTTTAAGACCTTAAACGTTTCAATTGATCCCATACAATTATGTATAGAGCACTGATTCGGTTGACATGGAACGTCCCATATATATAATTTATTTTACTCATTTCTTGTTTATCATTTATTGTTGAAGACCAATTAAATGGTATAAATAATGATTAAACAAAATTAATAAAATCGTTTACTTTCAATTTTCTCCATTTTTTCATTCCTGATGAGGCTGCGAAAGCAAAAAGTTTTGTCTCCTTCAAGTAAAACCGTGTCTTTCCATATATAAGAGAAGTTGAAGATTTTGCTTCTAAATTCAAAAAGTTTAAAACTAAAGTATAGAACTTTTCTCGAAATGAAAATGTTCTATATACGTTAGAAAAATCAACATTGGGTCCTCCCCACTCATATAGAAAGTGAGCTTTTACTCGATTCCATTTTCCACTTTGCCAAAAGCAAAGCTCTCCGCGATGCCTCTCGTATCATCCATTTCATTTTTTTTCTCTTTCTCTCTCTCTCTCTCTTCTCTACCTCAATTTCACTACGTACATTCCTAATCGATATTCCAAACTTTCTCTTCCTGTGGTGGAAGAACTGCGGAGAAAAACATGGCGTATGACATTATTCAGTAATCGAATGTGCCGCGTAGGAAATCAAAGTATCTGTAATTTATACAGCATGAAAGTTTAAAAAAGACGATTCTACTTTAAAAAAAAAAGATTTTACCTCCACTATTCAATTTAATTCAAGTTATTAAATTAAATTTTGTATTCTTTAGAAGAAAAAAAAATTTACAAAATTACAAATTTTTAAATTAATTTTTTTTATGATTGTTTAGAATTTTAAAAAGTGAGATTTTATTAATTATTATTGTACTTTGGGACTTTCTAGTATTTCATGAAATACTCAGTGTCGTTTACAGCATCCAAAAATTGTACACTGATTGATTGATGGTCACCGCCTTCACGGGGGTTTTCTGCCACACATATACACACGAAAAAGTGACTCTCGAATTTCCGCATATAGTTGCACTTTTTGAGATTTCCATTGGCAGCCAAATGTGTACAAGTGAGAATTCTCTCCTCTTGACAAGAATGATAACAAATGTTTTTCCATGTATCAAATTTTCACAGCCAAAAACTTTCTTTAAAAATCAGCAAAACACTCCAAATCCTATTCTGCATTCTATTTCATAATCGATTGACCTAGAAATAGATGTAGTAAACAACATTTATTTTCCAAGAATTTCTGACAAGTGTTTGTGTAAAAATATATAGTTAAATCGCAAACAAGTTATATATACTAGAAAATATTTTTCTTACGCCGAATTCTAGTTACATTTGTTTATATGCACGTATTTTTCAACTATCAACATTTTGAAAAATTACTATAACGATTTGATATGGAAAATAAATGAAAAGAAAAATATTTGAAAAAATAAGAGAATAATAAAACAAACATAAGTATGAATTTTTAAAAACAAAATTAAAAGAAATTGAAAATTTAATAGAAAAAATTTTTTTTTTCAGAATAAAACTTTTTTGAGTTCTTTAATTTTCTTTTAGAAAAGTTGAAAGTCACCGATGGGTAATCAAGAGTTTCTGGGTATTTGAATGGACGCGGTGTTGGGAAAAGTTAACGAATTTTCTTCACCCACGCGTTTCCATGCAAAACGATGTACATATATACACGACCATACTTGGTGGTGGTTTTCAACGGAAATGTCAAAAAAAAAGAAAAATATATGAGGCAACATTTTTGAAGTGATCCAATTAAAAAAAAAAAAAATTTCTTAAATCGGGCTGCAATTTTCATTTCATTTAGTAATGCTTCAAGATAGCTTTAAAATAAAATTTGATACTCTTATTACGCAGTTAAAATGTTGAATTTGTTCATAGAAGTATAAAAAAATAGTTTAAAAATAATTTAAAGCAGATAACTTGGTGAGTCTATGTTGTTATTTTCAAAAATTTTATAAATACATAAACATTATATTTATAGTAATCCAACAAATGACGACATGTGTAAAAAATATGGTTGAAATATATTTTATCATTTTGATAATTCTTTAGATTTATAAAACAAATTTCATTAGTGACTTTTAATTTTTTATATAATTAAAATTACTGTCACAATGTAATTTCCTGTGTAATAACTTTCATTGTTTCTAATTATTTTAAAGAACATAATCTAGAAGATGCCCGTGAGGATCCCCATTATTAATTATCACAGCCACACAAAAAAAAGTGCCCGGGTTGGGAGATCACAGTACCCTACCCCCATGTATTTTAGGCCGCTGAACACGAATATGAAGTCCGTTTGGCTGCTGCACGTGTACGTTTCTTCCTAACCTCAAAAAAATGTCACATTTTTGGTGGTATAAGATTTTTTTTAAATTGATGGATTTATATGAAACTGGGTATTTGGGGGTTTTTGAGATCGCTGATTACGAATCTGATGTTAGATTTTAAAAATTCAAAATGGCGGATCCAATATGGCGGACGAAAAAATAAAGATCATTCAGAACGGCTTGAAAATTGTTCCTAGGGGGTTTTTGGGATTGCTTATTCAGAATCTGAAGTCAGTTTTTCAAAATTCAAAATGGCGGATCCAAAATGGCGGTTGCAAAAATGAAAATCATTCAGATCAGCTTGAAAAAAAACGTTCACCTTGTTCTTCGCTAAAATGACCGAGATTATCGGGAAAATTATCAAGATGAAAATGTACAAAATGTAATTTTAAGTTTATTAGAGATTCTAGTTTTTTAAAATCCCTAATCATTTTGACACAATTACTTTATATTGTAGGGACTTTCTATTTCCCAAAAAGTTTTCTGTGACTGCCTGAAAACTAAGCCAAGCTGATTTTTCTAAATTAATCATTTTAGAGAGAAAAATTGTATTCTTAAATAAAGCTCGAATTTGTGCCTCGGAAATTTTTGGGAATTTCGTCTGCAGATACTCTAAACACTTAGTTTTATCCAGAGCTTTCACGTATTGCTTCATAAAACCAACTTTAAGTGGAGAGGAGGAATCAAGATTTTAGACGTAAAGAGAGAAAGTAGACAGCGTAAGTAGTAGTGTCACACACTCTCTTCCCCCACCACTCGCTGTCACCTAGCTGCTAGTGATATACCTTTCGTTTCGCAGCTTTTTCGTCAGTCTTCTTCTGACTCGTCTAGAGGTGCCTCTCTGACCAACTGGAAGCGATTCACTCCTGGCTAGCTGGTGCTCAGTAGTGGTGCGTCTCTTTAAACACCAGAACCTTCCTCACTTCCTAGAAGGAGCTGTACATGTTCCTGTAGGCGCTCCTGCGGAACAGTAACACCCTTCGCCCTCCTTTCTCCTGGTGAACCAGACTTCCTATGGGTGCTCCCGTGGAAGACTGGTGAACCAGGTTACACACATCTACCAGGATCATCCTTGTTGAGTAGAGGCGCTCCTCTCTTGAAAATGATGATGCACTAGGTCGATTCCCCATCTCGAGGTGTCCCTCGGGTGGAGGAGACACCTAGTAAATATTACTTCACACTAGCTTCGCGTCGGGCATGAATATTGGAACCGAATCTAATATCTAGCTTCATCCCGAATACGAATAATAATCGACCTAGCGTGCACAACTCTAGTATCCATCCGTACCGTCGTCTAGGGGATAAATTCTAGAAAGTACCCCACGTGAAAGTAATATGCGTCGTCCTGACCAACATCACCACGAATGTGTTAATATATTTAAATCAAATTTATTCTGGATTAATGACGAGCGCGATCGGAGCCTTAGCGAACGCTCCACTTGAATAGCTAGTTCTTATATAGTAATGTTTTCTAGAATTTAGTATTTTATTTGCATTGTATAGATTCTTTTGTTCTTATATTATTTTATGTATTACTCCTTTTTTAATACTTTATTATTCTTTTTTATGAACAATACATTCTCTTTTGAAGGTTTAAGTAAAGACTCGTCAATGACTACACCTTTCCTCTTCATCATAGTAAGAAATAGTTTCGAAATTAATCAAATGTAGATGGCGCTTTACGCCATCTACCGAGATTTAAAGTAACTAGTCAAAATAGGTACCCGGACTCCATCCGGCGAGCAAATCCTTTGGCAAATAAACTCAGATCATTACATAATGATTTTGTCGATCTCGACTGTCCCATCGCCATAAACAACAAGGGTTTTTGGTAAAGCCCGATTGTTGGCCAAGTAATAATTTTTAAATCACCACATATTTGCCAATTATGTTCCTTATAACCAATCTCCATTAAAAGCAATTCTAGATTTTCATATTTTTTCTTCAGGACAGTTGAGTGAGCTATTGGTATTGGGGCATATACGTTTGTATTGTGGAGTAAAACTGCTTTTATACTTTGTTTGGAAGCATCTTTAAAACAGTCTCCAATCTTCAGGTTTATAGCAATTTTGTTTAAATTCATTTATAAGCCCTCTAATATCAGTGCAAAATACCAGTGATGAATCCTTATCTTTCTTGAAATACTTACGAAATTCTATTTCCCGTTCTTGGTAAATAGAGACCTTGGTGCCTGATTCCAGACAATGTTTCGATCTAAAATATGCGGCTAAGAACTCTGCACCATCTTCGGTTAAACCTAAATCTCTTACAAGATCATTCAATTCCGATTGTGAAGTTAATGATGGTAGAACTATTACTTTTTCAGAATAAGGAACATAGTTTGTGTCACTGTCGTTGTTACTATCGATCGCAGAATTATGTTCATCAGATTCTTCCTCACATTCCATATTTTCATCATTTTTAGGTACGACGTTATCAATTAAATTAGTCTTGCACTTATTTGATCACACTAAGATTGCAGATGTCACTGATGAGACGGTGACATAAGAAATTTTGTGTCTATGTTTAAAACTGATACCAACTATATTATTCATACAAAAGTAACAATCTTCTTCACTTTGATGTGTTTTCCAGATTGTTGGATTTAAGTATTTGATGGACTCCCGATTTTTATTTTTTTCCAAAAAAAGAGCATCTTTCTGCATAAGTTACAAATGATTTGCGGAACCCAGTTGGTACGCTGATAGATCTCAAAACCGAAAATTTCGTTATACATTTCGCTTATTTCAGCATCAATCCTATGCCGCAAAGATCTTATCTCAAATTTAATGCAAATGTAACAAAAAGCATCTCGGTTTTTGCTACAATTATGAAGTTGTGAGTCAATCTTATGTTGTTTTCTTGTCGTGACGTACTATACATCAGCTAAGTCACCAACTAATGAAGAGCTGCAGTAATTGCATTTCGACGCCTGAGAGCCTGCTTTCTCACTCTCATCCGCCGATACTGGGTTTCCGAAGCCCTGCATCATAACACTTTTCCTACGTGTGTCTGCCATGACGGCATCAAAGCCATTATCCAGGGACTTAGCCAAATAGCTATAAAATTTTCAAGCCGTTCTGAATGATTTTCTTTTTTTCGTCCGCCAGATTAGATCAGTCATTTTTAATTTTGAAAAACTGACTTCAGATTCTGAATCAGTGACTCTAAAAACTCACGAGAAACAATTTTTAAGCCGATCTGAATGATTTTCATTTTTTCATCCGCCATATTGGATCCGCCATTTTGAATTTTCGAAATCTGACATCAGATTCGTAATCTGCGACCTCAAAAACCCCTAAATACCCAGTTTCATATAAATCCATCAATTTAAAAAAATCGTATACCACCAAAAATGTGACATGTTTTTTGAGGTTAGGAAGAAACGTACACGTGCAGGAGCAAAACAGACTTCATATTTGTTTAGCGGCCCAAAATACATGGTGATAGGGTACTGTGATCTCCCAACCCGGGCACTTTTTTGTGTGGCTGTGTTATTTTTATCAAAAACTGTAGAAGGAGAAGAGGATAAAAAATTTTTGTGTAATTTTAACATTAGATTTTTTGAAAAATCATAACTACTGTATAAAAGAATGAAAAAAATTGACAAATAGTAATTGACACTCAAAATTTATTTGTTTATTTTCAAAAAATCGAATGTTCACATTTTTGCTATTGGATCACTTCAGAAGTTTTGCCCCATCTATACAACCACTCTATTTATAATACTAGCTATATGTTAATAAGCACACATATATATGGAAAACTCGACACATATGATATATCTACAAATTTAGGTCTGCCTCATATTATTCATAGGCGCCTTTTTTTTCTTTCTCTCAAAAATCTTATTTTAGTGAAAATGAAAAATCATGACGTTCAATTACTTGTTGACTTTTTTCATTCTTTTAAATATGCAGGTATAAAAGTGAAATATATATCTCCTTCTTTTGCTGCAAAATGGAGTACCTTCATTATGTATTTTATATCAAGGATATATTAAATGGAATAAAATATACATTTATGTTTTATAAAATTTCTCATGTAATATGGAAAATAAATTAAACGAATCAATCGAAAAATAAAAACTGTATAAAAGTAATAACCTGAGAATATTGAATTTTAAATCAACAGAAATCCGAGATATAGAAATTGTGATTCTATACAAGACAATTATACTTGACTTTTTTTTAATAAACATTTCAAATATGACAAAGAGAAATAATTGAATATCAAAAGAACTTCAATATTTACTGCTAATATTTTTCTGCATTTCAATGAATTCTGTTTTTTTAAAATAAAATTTATTATTATTTTATTAAAATATATTACACTCGAAACTGATTTATAAATGAATTATTCAATAGATATTTTTACAATTTTCTATAGTGTTTATACTAATTTTAATTTCTTTGATTTTAACTAGTTTAGCTTTGATAATAATACTTGATAGATTGTGCTAAATTTTTGTGAAGAGCTCAAAAATAGTATAACGATTCATTGTCATGTGCCAGATTATCAATGTTTTATCAAAAAATTGCATATTTGGAGAAAATTCAATTTTAGCTCAAAAGCTATCAAATATTTTGCGAGAAATTCTACGGGAAACATTTACATGTGGAATCACAACAATCACATAATGTTAAAATAACACAAGCAACAGAAACAACTCTTTAACTTAACAGCTGTCTTATATTCATATTATTATGAAATGAAAAAACTAAAAATATACCATTATTTTATTTATTGTAATAAAATATTCAGTCCAACAATAAAATTATTAATACTGCTACAAAGTAAATGTAGTAGGAGTTACACTCAGTGTACACAAATTATTTCATCAGAATTTACTTAGAATATACTTGTACTAAGTACCTACCTGCAGCTTTGACAGATTATTATCGTTTACGTACATCTAACTTCGACAGGCGATAAAGCTGCAACATAATAATAATAACATTATTAATAATTAAAATTATTTAAAATTTTTAGCAATCAAATTAATTAATTAATATAGGCTTTTATGCAATATTTTACCATAACTATAATAATGATTTAATTTACATAAACTTTATTTTGTGATAATATAGTTACATCAACAAAATTTGTGCAAAATCGGGATGTAACAAGGTTATATCAAGTTTAAAACATGCTATTTATTTCTAAAAAAAATGTAAAATTTTTTGAAAGGAATAAATAATTTTTAAAACAGTTGAGAGTGATAAATAAGAAATTCAAATACAAATGAAATTTATACTTTTAGGTTATATGTTAGTAAACTGCAAAATTCTATAACGTTCATTGTTTTCAAAATTTTCTAAGCATTTAAATAAATAGGCAACAATACTTGTAAATAATTTTGTAAATATTAATGCTAACTCTACCGATGGTTGTCCGCTATCAAGAGGCTTGTAAATTCTTTGTAGACCTTGTCATGGTGGTGGGGCCTTTCACTAAAGGACTTCCAAAAACCAAGATGTAAAGTGAGGAAAAATATACATATGGAAAACAAAGGATTGAATAAGGTCGTTTACAGTGCAAGGGAGACATACCCCAGTGCCGGCCCTGCTGGAGGTGAGCAAGTTGGCTTTCCAGCATCGAAATCCAGTGAAAACAGTGCTGCAGTATTGAACACCTTAGGTGCTGCAGCATTCAATGCCACAAGGAGGATGGACCATGGAGGCACCCAGTTTCTTAAGGTTCCCCAGATTCGTTTGGAAAGACTTAGGAGTAGAAGAGGAAGTGCTTCAAGGGTTTCGAGTGTCAGCAGCGGAAGAAGTTTGATTTCGTCTGACCAACGAGGCCATAAACGAGAAACGCGAAATATGCGTCAGTTTGAGGAAGGAAGAATCTGAGTTCCTTCTGAAGATTGAAGAGGAGGTCGTCAAGATGGTGAAATCTTGCGACATCCAGAAGAACGTTAATCGAACGATCAAGGATGGATTAAAGGTTCTTCAGGACTTTGTAAATATGGCGAAGCAGAAGCACGGAGAAGCTGATAAAGGGGATGTGAAATTGAACTCCGCTTTAGGCTATACAGCATGAAACCGGGAGGACCGGAACAACAAGAGAGAGCGTATCTATGAGAAACGTCTTCGACGCGCTGTCATGGGAGCGCAAAAGAAGAAACGAAGTACCGGGAGTCCGGAAGAGAAAAAAGCCGAAGTAAAAAAGAAAAAGGAGGAAGCACCTCCATTAAAGAAGGATGCCAAGGCGACGGAGGCACCGAAACCGAAGCAGTCCAACAAGACAAAGTATTCGAGAGGATCAACAGTTGTCGTCCGAGTCGCTTCAGGTAAGACGTATGCTGATGTGTTGGGAAAGCTCCGCAAGAAAGTTAATCCTGTCACTAGCCATACGAGAGTCTTGGGGGCAAGGCCAACTAAAAAGAGACCTCTTGATCAGGATTGGAGGTGACTCGGACTAGGTAGCTTTTACCGCCGAGGTATTAAGGCTGTTGGCAGCATGAGTAAGGTGCAGACGGTGGATCGGATTTTTACACTGGAGATCCGCGACCAGGATTTCCTTACCCATGAAGCAGAAGTTCAGGAAGCGCTGGAATGAGAACTCGGAAAGCCAGGAAGGTGACGGTCTTAGGACCCAAAAAGCGAGGGATAAAGCTCGCAGTTGTCACCGCCAAGAAGAGGCTGCCAGACTGGAGGAATTGGGCGCATAAAGATTGGCTTTACGTGCTGACAAATAAGAATCAGAGTCATGGTTGTGCGGTGTCATCGATGCCTGGGTTACGGCCATCTAGAAAGAAGCTGCAAGGAAGCAGACAGATCAGCTGCGTGCTTTAAGAGCGGGGAAGCCGATCAAAAGTTTGCAGATTGCAAGAGCAGCCCCAGTTGCTTCTTGTGTAAAGCGAAGTCCGGCGACAAGGTTTCTCTCAACCAACGAGCATGCAGAGTCTTTAGGTCTGCCCTCGAGGAAACCAAAAAGACTCTCGCAAGAACCAAAGCTAAATAGACCAGAAAGTTCGTCAACGGCAAGGGTAGCGATAGCAAGATCCCACGTCACAGTACATATTCTCAATAGATTATCTAAACTTGATCAATATTATAATTATTGTTCAATATTCTTAAGGAACTTGAGGACAACAATTAGAATGTATGATATTGCAGCTTATTTCATTAGAGCTATTACCCAATTGGCAATCCATTGAGAATACATACAATTCTCATCTCTTGCACATTAGTTCTTGGTCGATTTAGTGGTTTATAGACGTCAATTGCACATAAATTTCCATTCTGATGATGACATGAAGCGAAGAGAGAAATGGGTGTGACATTACCATGTATCAACACCCACCCACTATCATTAAAGCAACATTGAAATAAAATTTCAAAGATTAATTCTTGAAAAAAATAAACAAAATAAATGTATATCATGATCTTTTATATTTGTATATTATTCACTTTTCATGTATATATAATACGCGTATTTCTGAGCATGAGCACATACGTATTTGTATGTACGTGACAGTGCTTATTATATGACACTCGCGAATAGGAGGGAAACCTATACATTGTAGAGGATGAATAATTAATTTGCGTTTCTAGTTGAGCAATAGAACCATTATCACATTGTCGGTCTCGACATTACAAGCCCAGGAATGATAATTAATAATCATTCAGACAACAAAAAGCCCACTTGGTTGCATAACAATATTCAATATATCGGTGTACAAAAGAGCGCTTGTTTGGTACAAATAAAATCTTCCGTCTCTGCGGATATTGGAATAACCAGTTTATACCTTCTATTCTTGTGTCTATATCTGAATATTTATTTGATTCCAAAAGCTTCTCTATTTTTGTTTCGCTTATCAAGTAGAGTAGTACATGGTTATTTGTTAATAATTATTTTTTATTTATAGAATATATTCTTTTAGCAACGCGTAATTTCATTAATTTTTTTTGTTCATTTATCAAATCAGGCAAGCTAAACATCATCAGAGCTGAAAATCAATTTTTTCTCCGAATTGTTTTTCAAAGCTTTTTAGATGAAACGTATTGTTTTTGTTTGGCTGAAAAAAAAATTTTTTCACGAAGTTACAACGAATTTAATTTTCCAAGTTTCGATATACTTCGCAAAATTTCAATTTGGATGATAACAGTATTTTTGCTACGAATAAACAAATGACTGTCAAAAATGTGTTCGTATCAAAAATATACTGTTACTATTCAAATTAAATTTTACGAAATACATAAAAAATTTCACAAGAAGTTAAAAAAAATGTAAAAATGTCTTTTTAGCATAGAAATGAAATTTTTTTTTTCATTTTAATCATCCAAATTAAAAATTAGTAGCAGAGAACGCTGCCTAGTTTCTTCATAGATTTCCTTTACAAAAATATTTTTTTTCAATAAATATTTATCTCATTTTTTTTCATAATTTACATGTAGAATGTAAAATGTGAGGTCTCCTAAATATTTATAGGAAGGAAAATATTTTATGAAAAATGAAAAAAAGCAAATGAGGCAAATTGGCAGGATGTTTTTTCAATGTGCTGTAAAATTTCTTTTCGAATTTAGCAATATTCACTAGAGTCACAACAAAGAACGTTTTATTCTTTTTTTCTGTATTGCGGAATAAACATCTTCAACCCAGTTTTTTCAACTTTCAGAAATAACATCATTTGTATTTTTTTTCATTCAATTTGTTGCGCGTCTCAATATTAAACCGTGACAGGGAGCTTTCCTTTTAGTATTAGAGAAAAAATGTGCGTAATATATATTGTATATATTGTCAAATCGAATGCTTCGAAGGGTTTTGAAAATATTTTCTTCGCTCGATATGTGAAATGAATAATGTAAGACTTGGAAATAAATGAAAAAAAATCTCAACTAATTGGCAATTAAATTAGATAAAAATGTTTCTAGTAAATTTGAGTTTGATAAAATATCAAATTTTTTTTATATTGTGTTAAATTGTCGTTGAATTTTATAATGCAATGTTTTGTTAAATTTAGCTAATTTATATTTAATGTTATTGTTTTTTAATTAAAATGTTTAAAACAAACAACATGTTGCCACAATATTGCATTAATATTACATAACAATGTTGCGTATATTGCACCAAAATTTTTGAGGCAACATTGATTATGTCCACCCTGCGGGAATATTGTACGGTAATATTTAGGAAATATTGTGACAATATTGCTTCGCGTAAGATTAAATAGTTATTACTATGCAAATATTGTAGGCAATATTGACTTAATATTACCATCAATATTGCTATGCAATACACAGTTGCCAATGACCGTACATAAACGCTACTGCGCTTGCGCTACAACAACTCTCTTATAGGTCGAAAAAAGCGCGCTCATATAAAATGCTTAAAAATAAGAAAACCAATATAAAAATATTTTCACTACTGAATTTATTTTTTTTGTTAATTATATTGCTGCCTAATAAAAAAATACTAACTTCCTTAATTTACTTAAGAATATAATAATTTTATTATATTTATATCATTATTATAATTATTTTTTAAATAAAATATTTATAATCTATTATTATTATCATCAATATAATATTTATTAATTAATTAATATCTATATTAATAAAATCAGACTTTTGTCTGTACATTGCTCCAAATTAATTTTTTCTTGCACAGTTTATCATTTTAAGTAGTAAAGATAACAAATATGCCATAAATAAAAATTCTGTCTGTCTGTCTATCTGTCTGTCTGTCGTCAATATTTTGTACCGGCACAACTTTAAAACGGCTCAACCGATTGAGGTGAAACTTGGCAGTGTATTCAGTCTTAACGTAACTTAAAATCTCAGCCATATTTGATTAAAAAATATTAACATGAACGAAAGTTATAACATTTTTTCAAAAAATTTTAAAAAATCAAAAAAATGCAAATTTTTTATTTTTTGTCAGATTGATTTGAAACTATTTGTACCTAATTTTTTCACATAAATACAAT